ACACACACACACACACACACACACACACACACACACACACACACACACACACACACTCTTTGTTAGACCAAATGCTTATTACTATTAACCAGAAACCATGCACTCATCAGTCACAAAAATCAAGACCAATTGTCTAATATTGTAGACCCATTATGGTACCAAAACAGCTCTGATCAGTCTTCTAACTGGACCCTGTAGTATCAAGCACCAAGACATTAGCAGCAGATCCTTCAAGTCTTAACCTAAAAGGTTGTATTTCTGTGCGTTAGGACTCGTTTTTCTGGCACGGCCCACAGGTACTCAATCAGATCATAATCTGAGGAATTTGGAAGCCAAGTCAACACTTCGAGCTTTCTGTCATGTTCTTCATACCATTACTGAATTATTTCTGCAAAGTGGGTAGATGTATTACTCTGCTGGAGTAGGCAGGCACACTGAAAGACTTGCAGATCAAAATTTTAAAAAAGGTAGAGAAACATTTTTTGCCCGTGATCGTTTTGTGTCTCTTTGTGATCCAAAACTCACATCTGTTTGTGTGGACTTTGTATCTCATTATGGCTGTTTGCAGACTTTACAGCCATTCTGCACCTAAACATTGCTCTCTATTTGCAGAGATTTTCTAACTTTTTGGTTGTTGTTCATTTTTCTTTCTTTGAAAAGATAGTTACCTTCATGAATGAAGCAGAAACTGACAAGCAGAGGGTCTAGATCAGGAGCCACTTAGCCTTTGGGGTACCTTAAGTGCATGCCCAGTCAGTATTTTTCCATGGTTGTAGCTGGTTGGTGTATAGCAATAATAATCCAATGCTAAGACTAAGATGCCTACTGTATTATATGTACATATGCGTAGTTGGTATTCTAAAATCTCACATTTGCTTTAGCAAAAATCTTTTGATTCTTAGTGCACTTAATGAGGTAAATTACTTAGAGAGAGAAACTGTGGTGGCACTGTCATTAGGCAGCAGGAGAAGAGGTAGTTATTACTGATTCTCACTGCCTTGAACTGTCAAGCATCTTCAGTCCTCCATCATGTTGCCCTGGTTGCAGCATTCCCAGTTCAGGAGATCCTTTCCCTGAAACCACAGCTGGATCTCCCGTTGAGCACCCTCCAGTGAATCACTGGCATGGACAACGTTCCTTTAAGTGACCAACACACATGGTTACTGTACTGCCACGTCATAAAAGCACATACCTTCATAGGCTTTAATGTTAAAAATCAGTTTTATGTCACAAATATCAGCACACATAATGAAATGAAATAAAGTCAGGTTACCTGCTGACATGGACGCTGAAATCTCCTCTGACTGTGCCCGCCTGGGCTTCAGTTGGGTTAGTGTGTCCTACCATTTTACGTGATGTCTGGACTACATTGGGCCCCTCCCATACCTAAATAAAAGTAAAGCAGCATGTGTTGGCAAGACTGATAAACCTACTGAAGAACTATAACAAGAATAAGTAGAAAAGTAACAAGGAGAAAACCAGGAGTATCCTCGAAAGAGGCAGACAGAGGAGCACTCACCATGACCACCACAGGCCCTGAGGTCATGTAATGGTGCAGACTAGGATAGAAGGGCTTAGCTCTCAGCTCACGGTAGTGCTGAGACAGGAGATCCTCAGACACCTTTCAAACAGAGACAGATTCAACAAGAAACTTGCAGATCAC